TATCCTAAACTAGATGGAAGTCTAAGTAGTTTGATCCTTACCTCTGTAAACTTGAAACTTTGCCTTTTTTTTTTTTTTTTTTTTTTTTGGAGGGGGGCAGCATTTAAATGTGTTTGCCTGTTTACTTTTATTTAAAAGTCTAGAACTTTATATTCCTTATCCTGAAGAACCAAATATACCCTTAGATTCCATTTTTGTTTTGTAAACCTTTAAACATTTCTCCAACCTCAGACTGGAAGGACAAGGTGTTCTCCATAGAGGAACCACTAGTTACCATTTACTGAGCACCTACTTTGTGATAGGTACTTGTTCAGTAGCATTCACATAAAATGTCAGACATTATATTATGTATAAGACACAAAGAAGTTATGAGAAGTTTTAGAGAAACTTCTTTGATCATCATATTTACATCAAATTTGAGGTAAAAATACACAATAACTTGAGAGCAATAATATAACCAATAATAATGTTTATAGCTTTGAGAAAATATAAAAAAGTGTGACATAAACTTTCTGATTTAAAAAAATCTAATATTTATGACATTTTCCTGAAAAAAAAAATGACAATTTAACCTGATGTTATATAGTATATATAATCCTATTTTTTAAATGAAGAAATCAAATTTATTAGTTGGTAAAATTTGGTGTGTTACTTTGCTAGGATCACTGTAATAAATGCCACAGGCTAGGCTTTTTGCTAATTTTGGATGCTAAAAGTCCACAAGAAGTTGTGGGCAGTGTTGGTTTTCTGGGGCTTCTCACCTTAACTTTCATAAGGTGGCCTTCTCACTGGGTCTCTTTCGCAGATTACCCTCTGTGTACACTCAAGTCTGTGTCAAAATTACATTATTTTATGAGATCATCAGACATACTGCCATATTTGGCCCACCCAAAATATCTCATTTTAAGTTATTTATCCCTTTAAAAACCTTATCACAAAATAAGGTTACCTTATCTAGGTACTGGAGGTTTGGGCTTCAATATATGAAATTTGGAGTTGGGGAGGAGATATAATTCAGCCATAACAAGGTGGCCAGCATCCTGACAGGGTAGGTTTCTGCTCAGAAGATGTGGGCCGCATGACAAATAAAAAGTCTAAAATAATCAGTAAGAAATAAATACAGATCTAGAAATTAGATATGGAAAGAGGAGTGTCTGATGGGACTTCCAGTCCTGATAGGAGCTGGAACCCAACAACTGAAAAAAGGCTCTGATTATTTAAGGGAGAGTACATCAATGCAGCTCTAAGGTTTCAAAGTGGGAGGAGTCTAGTTTGGTGTTTGCTTCTTGGTGTGGCAGGGGTCTTGTAGTGAAGAGGATGGTTGACATTTTGGTAAGCCACAACCATCCCCTGGAGGCTGGGCTAGAACTGGAGCCTTAAGCTAGGCAGGACACCTCCTGAACCAGGCATTCTCAAACCATTAGGTTCCCACTGGGAGTTCCTGATACCTAATGGCTCCAACATCACTTTAGTCCACACATGGTTCATGGATAGCTCCCTGCATCATCCCATAATATTTTGGTAAGTTCTCAGATGGCACTAGGGAACACATAGGAAGGGCAACACAGCTGATGCTCTGCATCTGCGGTTTCCACATCCATTGTTCAGCCAAAAAAAAAAAAAAAGACCAAAAAATACTAGACAAAAAATTTTGTCTAGTATGAAGCATGAACAGGCATGTTTTTTGGTCATTATTCCCCCAAACAATACATTACAACAACTATTTACATGGCATTTATACCATATTTGATAGTATAACTGATATAAAGCTGATTTAAAGTCTGGGAAGATACACCTAGATTATAGGCAAATACTGCACCACTTTATATAATTAACTTGAACATCTGTGGATTTTGGAATTCATCATACTGGAGGTCCACAGCTTAGAGAAAACTGGTTTTTTTAAAATACATTATGAACTTTTAAAATATTTATGAGGCTATGGAGGGATGGATATACACATATTTTAGATTTAGGTACCAGTGAGAATTATAACCAGAAATTAAAGGGATAAATCATAATTCACCATTCTATATTTTAATTGTGAAGTTTAATATGTGTTTCTATGTGATCTAAAAATATGAATTTAGAAAACCCTCTGTAGATATTTTGCAATTGCTTCCACATCATACTGCATCAAGTGAAGAATACCTGTTTCACTGTGATGATGGTTGCAGAGTGGCCAAGTGAGCCTTTGTTTCAGCATTGGATATACTTTGGAGGTTTGTTCAGTGACATGTCAGTTACACTCTGCCTCTGCATCATCTCCAGATGGCTAGATTGACTTATTAGTATTCTAAAACATAAGGGAAAGAATTCAGGCTCTCAAAAAATGATGTACAGTGTTTTCTATGTTATTGACAACTTGAGGTACCTGCACTGTGTTGTTATGGAAGTGAAGTTAACAGTGTGGTTTTTTTTTTTTACCATCAGCAGAGCCCTGAGGTAGTATCTGGAGGCTGATATGAGGAAATAAACTGCTTGTTCAACTTCCTCTATTCCTTCTGTAATGCACATTTGGAAACATGGTTACCAAAGTTTATATTCTGTGTTTGAGGCTGTGCTTGGTTATCTTTCCTAAGGTCCCATAAATAAAAATTTCTTTGTTTTGTTACAGGTACAAAATTGAAGATAATGGTAATTGTGTCTACATAGATAAGAGAGTCATGAATAGTGCCAAATGTGAAAAAAACAAAAAATATATTTGCAGCAATAAAAGCTTCTGTCTTTAGAGTTCTTCCATATGGAAAATAAGAAAAACTGTCCTCTTTATGCATTATGAACTCATATAGATACATTTTATTTCCCACTAAACATGTTTTAAGATGATTGATGGAAATTTAAATAAAAATTAATTTTTTTCTAAATAACTGTTAAGAAGTCTAGAAATTAAGTTGAGTTTTAATGTGATGTGGATTAGACCAACACAGTTGGTGCTCTGGACTACGGGTATAATGGTGGTCTTGGTTGGCACTGACCCATTAGCAAAGCCTTAATGGAACAGATTGGAAAGTAAAGGGAAGGGAGTGAAAGATGGCTCTGCTTGCCTGAAATCCAATTAAATCTGTCTAAAAGAAATAACAGAGATGCAGCACTAGGCGGACATTAACAAAGTTTCACTCTGCCTTAATACTCCATACCTTATTTAAGATTTGTAAAGAAGGCCCATGTGAGAAATATCCCAAGATTGAAAAGGGATTTTGTATTGCCATCAGAGACCAGATACCCTGGAAATAAAGGTCATGCTGAACCATGGACAACTCCTTGTAATTCTCTGGACCCTTAATCAAATTACTGAACTGAAGAATCACATTAACTGAATTTGTGCTGCTGTTTCTAAGAATAGTGAGGGAGTCAGGGTTTGTGATTTTTGAGTCCCAGCAAGAGGAACGTGAGCAGAGATGAAGATGAATGTGAGTAAAGAAGACCTCCTGACGTGAGTGAACAATGGAGTTTTCTCTGGATTCTTAGAAGCTCCAGTATTTAAATTCCAGGTAATACATAAGCAGGTGTTTGAGGAATAGAGAGTAAGGATTAGCCTCTGGCCATTGTTAAAAATCTCTGTTACATAATGCCATATTAGTAACTGTTGTATTGTGCTACCTTTCCTACCCCCTACTATCCCCCCTCCCCTCCACTCCCATCTTCTCTCTCTACCCCATCTACTGTAATTCATTTCCCTCCTTGTTTATTACCAATAAAAATAAAATAAAATATATAAGCAATAAAAAATCTCTGTTATCCTTTAATCTTTTGTTTTAACCTAACTTTATTTTCCTCCTTTTTTTGTTTACTAACATAATGAAAGATGCTCTTTTGAATATTACCTTATACCATAAACCATGCTAAATATTTTACCCCTCAATGCTGAATATTTCATATCAACTGTTCTTAAATAAACAAGCAAATTAAACCTTATCTAAGATTATATTAAATGATGGAACCACATTTGAAATTTAGTTCTCATGCACATTATAGATTTCTAATTAATATGGAAAAGAGGATAGAAAAAATAGAAGTTATGTTTAGCATCATCAAAACAAGTCTTGTCAGCATCTTTTCATTCTCTGTACCGACTGGGATTTAGTAATGTCTAAAATGTGTTAGTAGGCTAAATACAGGCTTTGTTGAAATGTAATTTTCACAAATATCATAAATCCTTATATGGAAAATACCAAAGAATCTACAAAATAGATAATAGAACTAAGGAATGACATTTTGGCCAAGTTTCAAGATGCAAAATCAGTACACAAAAATCAACTACATTTCTATTTCCTGTAATAACTGAAAAAGTAAAACTGTCATTTGCACTGAAATAAAAATAGAAAATATTTAGAAATATAATTAACAATGTATGTGCAAAACTTACTACAAACTGCGAAACATTGTTCAGTACAAATTGGTGTGGTCCGAATAAATGAAAGAAAAACCCTGCTTGTGGTGGAGACTAAATGTCACTAAAATGTCAATTTTTACCAAATTGAGCTATAAATTCAAAGCATCCTGAAAAAATATCTTGGCAGGCTTTTTTTAAACATTGATTTAAAGCTTATAAAATAGGACAATGCTTAGGATAGTAAAAATAAAATATCTTGAAAAAGATTCAAGTTTTAACATAAATCTATAACAAGATCATGTTGCATTGACATAGGAACTGAAAAGGTATTAATGAAACCCACATAGAGCCAAGAAATGGCCTCATATTCCTCAACAAATGATTGAGTGAATGAAATTGGCTTTTTGGCATATAGTCTTGAAATCATTGGATGTTCATATTTTTAAAAAGTTAACATTGTTATCTCATGTGTAGAACATTTCTCAAGTTGAATCAAAAAATCTAGATGGAAGAGCTGAAGCTTTAAAATTTCTCAGAAAACAAAAAACGACAAAGGGGAAAGTCTTTCTGCCTTGAGATAGGTAAAGATTAGATGGAGAAGTCCTCAAATTTCAAACTTTGGGGGATAAAAGTGATTGATTTGTCTTTATGAAAATGAAGAGCTTTTTATATTCAAAAATTAAAGCAGTGAGAAATGAAGAAGAGTGAAGCCATGGGTTGGGAAAGAAACTTTGTAAAACATGTATAGAATGGGTAACTCATATCCACAATTCCTGAAGAACTCTTGCAACTGAATGTTAGTCAACCTTATTAAAAATGGATAAGTATCGAATGAGCATGTCACCAAAGAAGATATCTGAATGATAAATACATTAAAAATATGCACAACATGATTAATAATTAGAGGATATAAACTAAAAGAAGCACAAAAGTGAAAAAACATTTGTTAAAATATCTAAAATTAAGAGATTGACAAGAACAAACGTTGGTGTGCAACATTTGGAATCTTACACATTGTTAAAGAACTGAAAATTATGTACCTATTCTGGAAAACAGTTTGACAGATTTTATAAAGCAAACACCATATGACACAGTGATTGTATAAATGAATTTATCCTAAAGAAAGTATACTCTGACAAAATAATATGAAATGTGCATAGCAGCTTCTTATGTGATAGTCAAATACTAGAAATAAGAAATATTTCACTATGTCAGATATAAACATACAATGGGAATACCATTAAAAATTAAAAAGGGATTAACTACTTACATGTACAATGATTTCTGTAAATCTTAAAAGCATTATCATCCATGAAATAAACCAGAGATAGACACCACACACTCTCTAATTCATTTAGGTGAAATTCTAGGATATGTCAAACTATTGACATAAAGCCAGGGATCAAAGTCAAGTAGGAAAATGAATGTAAAAGGAAATAAGGCAATTTGAGAAATGATGGAAATGTTTTAAATGACAATTCAGTGGTGTTTACATGATTCACTTCATGATGTTTGTGTTATGAATGAGTCAATATTTTTCTGATTGCTTCCCTAAGCTAGCAAGTCTGCCTACCTTTATCTGAAATTAGTCTCAGTATTTTTTCCTGGACTGGGAGAGTGCTTTGATTAGTTTTTTTATCCTATTTAACATAAAAGGTTGCTCAAAACTGTGCTAAGTGAGGCATATAAGTAACTTTCTAGTCCACTCCTCTTGATCTGAGCCAGTTACCACATTTGCCATGATTAGACCAGAGCTACAAGGTGATGCGTATAAAAGCTGAACACAGAACAAGTAAGTTTTGAGGGGTGATAAGAAAGAAGTAGAGAAAGGAAAAACTGGAATCCAAGGCAGTTTAGAAGTGTTGAAGCCTTTACTTAAGTGGAAGTCTTTTGTAAGTTGGGGAAGACTTGCAAGTGCACAAGTGTAAACAGTTATTTGGGACAAATTTTATGGTATGGGTGTTATATTGCAATAAAGATGTCTTCAAAAGGTACTTTTATAGATTAAAACGGTTGATGACCATAATTTCATGCAGAATAGAACACAAATTCCCCATTTTGGATTTAGCCAATTTCTGGCTGAATTAAACAAATGTATTCCCAAATCATCTCGATTAGTGTCTTCAGCTTGACATAAAGCCAGGGATCACAGTCAGGTAGGAAAATGAATGTTAAAGGAAATAAGGAAATTTGAGAAGTGATGGAAATGTTTTAAATGATAGTTCTGTGGTGTTTGCATGAAATGTGCATAGCAGCTTGTTATGAATGAGTCAATATTTTTATGTTTGCTTCCCTAAGCTAGAGAGTCTGCCTACTTTTATCTGAAATTAGTCTGTTGCCCCAACAACAGTTTTATTGTTTGTTTGTTCATTTGTTTGTTGTAGTGCTGGGGATTGAACTCGGGGAGTTTTTATCACTGGATATGTCCCCAGCCTTTCTGACTGGACTTCATAGTGTCATTTTTTCTATTTCTTCTTTGGCTGCAATTAGTGGGTTTTGACATAGTGTATACTGTGTCAGAGCCCAAGGGTCCCACTTTTACTGAAGCTCTTACTAGAGTGGCGTCCCTCTGACAGATCAGGCAGTTCCATTGTAGATAGCAGAGTATGTAGAAGGTACCCTCTGTGGCTACTCTTCCATTCTTATCATTATTGTGTGGTCTGAAAGGGCAAAGAGTAACAAATAACAAGTTCCCTAGTAGATGATGTGTTTACAGTCTTTTTGTCGCTCTTTTTACTGTTACTATAGAGGTGAACTTTTAGAACAGGTCTCCAGCCTTCCTCCCTTGACCCCTACCAATGTCTACATGTGGCCAGGTTATCTGCTGGTCTTTTATCTCCCCCACTCTTTAAGCACAGACAACAACAAATGCCTGTTGCATAGGACAAATCAAGAGCTGGGATAGAGGGAAGCCCTCTTGTGTTTTTAGCAGCTGTCACCACCTACTCCCTTTTTCTTCCAGGTCAGGGGGTGTGTCCATAAGAAAGGAGGAAGGATCCTGCCTGCGTTTCCCTAGCAGGGCCTTTAGTTTTTCCTCGGAGTCTCTTGTTCCCAGAATTGCTTCTTTAGGAAATCATTTAATCTTTGGCTTCATTATTCTCACATCCTTTTCCTAACTAGTTTCCTGCACTTCTGGAGACTGAAAAAGACCGCAGAGAGGTGGTGTTGGCCGTGGGGGTGGAGAAACAAGCAAAGCTTCCCTCCCAGGGGCTCTCCTGAAGAAGAGAAATCAACTGCTTTCTTAAGTCGACTACCTAAATCAAGTGTTTTGATTCCAAGCCCAGAGTGTCAGTGCTCTTTCACTTCCCAATTCCATAAGAACAGTGGGCGACCAAGAGCTCTGGAGAAATGCCTGCAGGAGGAGGCTTAGCCCTGCCAGGAAGAAGGGAACCAGCATGACTCAGGGGAAGTACTGTGATGCAGCTGGAGCTCTGCTTCAGCTGTGGGGTCTGGATCCAAGTCTTCGCTCCGGGACACCTAATCTAGGACCTCAGGGCCCGGCTCTCACACCTGGAGAAAACATCCTGCACAGGA